ACTGTGCAACCACGTTGCCTGTGGTGCTGCAGTTTCAGCAGCTTCATGTAAGCGTCCCTTAGAAGTCCCTTAGAGAGGTGCAGAGGCACCTCTCTCAGCAGGAGGTGCCTCTGCAGGCAACCTGGTGCCTCTGGAAGAGGTTCTAGCTTTTGGCGTTGGATTGTCTCTGCCCCACAACCATTTCTGTCGTGTTCCTCTGCAACGCAACGCAGCCATATTGCAAACGGTGCAATTGCTGAAATAACTAGTGTATCTTAGGTTTCATGTCTTATTTGCCCTTTAGGGATGCCCATTTTGGTTGAATCCATCCTTTTCTTCTTAGACAACCCTTGTCGGCCTTGCACACTGGTATTGGCTATTCAGGCTCGTGCTAGATTCATACTGGAAACCAGACTGGATGAAACAACAATATTAGTGATAATCACCCATTGTGTCTCCCTCACAAAGTCGGGATGAACCTACTGTAATGCCCTGGAAGTATGGGTGAGGTTTAAACACTAAAACAATTGGGTTCCCATTCTTTGTTGTTTTCTGTCCCAGGGAGCTGATTGTCATGAATTGGAAAGGAACTCTCCTGATTTACACCAGGGGAAGAGGTGGGCTCAGTGCACCCTGAAGTCCAGAGATTTTACAAGTTTGCATTTTGTTCTGGATGGCCCTAATCTTGGAATTGGGAAAATTCCATTTAAAAAGCCATTTGTGTGGTATTTACAACCCAGCTGGAAGTAGTAAATACCGGAAATCTTGGAACTGCTTATGCTCTCGCTCAAGCTCCTTCATTAGATAGATCATCAAATTCCTTGTGAGGGAGCCAGTTTCCACCCCATTCTGCAGGCTCCGTTTTCCTTGGATCCACTTCGGAGCAGCTTCTCCCAAGCGCTGGCAGCTTCCCCTGCTTGGCAGAACCTTTTGCTTTTTGAGGTTTGAGGAGTATCTAGGGTCTGGTCACAAGAGCCGATCATCACCCATGGCTTCCAAGAACAGCAACAAACATGGAAGATGGTCAGCATCTCCCAGAGGTGCCCAGCACCTCCTAAGGCTCAGTGGCAACAGGAAAAGGACAATGAAGTGCTATTGGAGAACCAACATCAAGAATCAAACCCGAAGGAAACCAGATGGTTACCTCCTATGTCCTGCTTGCACTGAGGCTGCGGAGGTGGGATGACCTTCAGGGGGAGGATTATGGCTTTGGGATGCACTGTCCATGTTCCAGAGCAGGTGAGGTGGACTTTAGAGTGCTGCCTGCAGCATTGCATGAGAGCTCGTCATCCTTTTGTCATTCTCTTACTTGAAGATGTCCCCCTCCCACCCTCAGATCTGCCCCGTGCACCGTGGGGATGCACTTCACCTGCTCTGTGCTGGTCCCCGTCTCCTCTGTGAGGAGTGGTGGAACATTGCTAGATGAGACTGGAGAGACTGGACCAGTGTAAATTCACCAGCTGAGGATCTATGGTCTGCATTATGCCATCTGATGATGAAGATGGACTGTTCTTTTCCCTCTCCAACACTTTGGGGTTACATAGGTAGGAAAAGCATCATGAAGAGGGGCCAGAAGACAGGCAGAAGACATTAGGGGGTAGGCTGCAATCCTTCCTTGGCCACTGTGTCCTCTTTGGAGCTGGGCATGGTGTCCTCACACGTCTTAAAATCTGGAGTGACGGTGCCCTTTCCACGTACGACACTGGTGAGCCTGGCTCTAGAGAGGCCAGCCGAGCAACCGCAAGAGCTTGCAGAAGAAGAGAGGGCACCTATAGGGTTTCCACTTGAAAAACGCTGGTTGTTTTTTTGTTTTTCTCTCTTCACCTGTGAGGAATTCTGGAAGGGGATCCGCAGCTGCAGCTCTGCCCGGCTGGGCTGTGGCGGGCAGGGAACCGTCTGGGCTGAATGGAAAAATCAGCAACCTCAGGTTGTAAGTCAGGCGCATTTTTACACAACGGAAAAACAGAGTTTGACTGGTTTGTGTTGTATATTTAAAAAAATAAAAATAAAATAAACAGTCAAACCCCAAGCCAATGATTTCTAACGCCAGCGGAGTAATGCGGTTTGATGCTGAAAACTTTATTAGCAGAACAATGCTTCATTTTACAAGACATTGTTTTTCCACCCTAGTGTTCTTATTACTCAGTGGTGGGTTAGGGATCCAAAACTTTTAGGCTGTCTGTAAAAGCTAGAGCTTGGGCTGTTCTTCCAGACGTAGCTCCTGTGATAGACCCCTGTTCAGGCAGGAGCTCAGACCTCTGCTTCCAGCTTCTGTCCTTCAGGGGACTACATCCTCTCCACTGCTCCTGTGTAGAATAAACCTGGTCAGGATTAAGGTGATCCATACGCTTTTGCATCTCTCTGCTTGCTATTTCAGCTATTTTAAAGAAGTGGTTGCATCGCTCGCTTATCCCACCCTTTTTGTCCCCTTTTAAGAGGAGGAGGATAGGTTGATTATCAGGGCTCTGCGTTGCTGGGACTAAGGAGCCAGGTTTTGCCATCGTCAGGAAGAAAGCAAGAGATGGGACTGTGGCTCTCTAGCTGGATTTAGGGGCAGCAAGGCCAGAGGACACCAAGGGGAAGCTCCCCATGGTGTGTGCCTCGTACTCTATGCTGGCCAGGGTTCTTGGGCCAAGGAGAGGAACAGCAGTGGTTGCTCCAGCTGGGCTTGGTAGACAGCTGAGTGAGAGTAAGGGGTTATTTTACAAGGAAGGGGGTGTGTACCTTCCAGGAGAAAGCCCATGGCTACTTATAGTGATGAGGATGTGCACATGTGCATCTTTACATGGGTGCCTTCGCTGCCCATCACCACCTCCTGAAGGTGAGATGTGGGCATTTGCATTGGAGCAACACCTCTGTTTTGCCAAGTGCTTCTTGGGGGGGAAGATGCTTTTTTTCATGGAACTTTTTTTTTTTTTAATCCTTTTATTTTGGCCGTGAAAAAAAAAAAATTGCAGCTCAAAATATGTTAGTTGCAAAAATTTGGAAAGGGCCATTTCTTGCCAGCGTTCTTTCAAACGTTATCCCTGTTGAAAGGGGGTTTAAGCAAAGTGGGATGTTTTTCTGCCCGCACCAGGAATCCTGTTCTCGAAGCAGCAGCAAAGTTAATCTGGGTCAGAACAAGCTCCCTTTCCCTTGCCTCGCTGTCCTTAAAATCTCTTGGTGAAGTGCTCGTCCCTGGGAACTCTGCCATCCATTCCAGCAGAGCTGGATTTCATTTGATGACCCTGCGAATGAATAAATAAGTGCATATTCATTTATTCATTTTGCTTCACCCTCGAGATTTCACCTAAATTGTTTATCTCCTTCCCTCTCTTGGCCCAGGATGCTGCAGGAAACAAAGGGCCCTGCAAGCTGTGCCTTGTTGCTCCTAGCTGTGAAATTTACTTTTCTTTTTTGTTACCCTTGGCTCCAGCACACATCTCCGTGTGGATTTATGTGCCCGGCTCCCTTGGCACAGCTAAAGACCGGGGCTGTAAAACTCCAAATCTGATTGTCTCAACCGTGCCATTGCTGATGCTCTCCCTGGGGGGATTTTTATTGTGATCTCCATTTTAGTCTCATTTATCGTGAAAGCGTATCGCTGTAGAGGCTTTTAGTTAACAGCATCAGCTCTGAACCTCTCAGCTGGGAGTGAGGACCTCTGTTAGGTGCCCTGTATCCCCAGGCAGAGGTTACCCCTCTGGTCGTAGTGCTGGAGGCAGAAAGGAGATGAGGAATGTGGGGGTGTGCATGGGGTATCACCAAGCAAGCTAAGCCTCAGGGTCCCTCCAGCATCTTACAGCTTTAATTTTCCTCCCGGGGCTCCTTAGTTAATCCCTCCCCCAGCCCAGCAGACAGGGCCAAGCGCATAGACGTGGTTTCAGCAGGATTGATTCAGCTCGAGTCCAAGGAAGGGATGTGGCTTTAAACTGACCTCGCTGAGGGAAGTGTCTGGATCTGCTCTGTGCAGACCGTGTTCCTCAGGAAAGTTGTGGAGAGGGAGGTTCAGCCCAGGCCATGGCATTGTTGTTCGCTACCAGGAGTTTTCTCTCCCAACAGATGAGGAATGTTCCACCACCGAGCATCCCTACAAGAAGCCCTATATGGAAACTTCTCCGGCAGAAGAGGACCCTTTCTACAGGTCCAGTTACCCCCAGCAGCAGGGACTGAACACTTCATACAGGACTGAGTCAGCCCAGCGCCAAGCATGTATGTATGCCAGCTCCGCTCCCCCCACGGACCCCGTGCCCAGCCTAGAAGACATCAGCTGTAACACGTGGCCCAGCGTGCCCTCCTACAGCAGTTGCACAGTGTCTGCCATGCAGCCCATGGACAGGTTACCCTACCAACATTTCTCTGCCCACTTCACCTCGGGGCCACTCATGCCCCGGCTCAGCAGCGTGGCCAACCATACCTCCCCCCAAATCGGAGATACCCATAGCATGTTCCAGCACCAAACCTCGGTTTCTCACCAACCCATCGTCCGGCAGTGTGGACCTCAAACTGGCATCCAGTCCCCTCCCAGCAGCTTACAGCCCGCAGAGTTCCTCTATTCGCACGGCGTGCCTCGAACCCTTTCTCCCCACCAGTACCACTCGGTCCACGGCGTGGGGATGGTGCCAGAGTGGAGCGAGAACAGCTAACGAGGAGGTGGGGAAAGCGCCAGAGCATTAGCCATGGGGAAACAAAGGAAAACAACAAAACAAAAAAAAAAATGGGAAAAGGAGAAAAAAAAATTAAATAAATAATACCCTCTCGATAATAAAAGCGAGAGTATTTCGCAAGACTCCTTTAACTGAATGTTCACCGATAGCACTCGAGAGGGACGGACACTGATTGAAAACCACAGATGAAATAAGTCATCGGCCTCCGTGTGACTTGCCTCCCCCGGCCCTCCCTCCCCTGCCCCTCCCTCGCCTTTTTTCTTTTGTTTCAA